CGTATCCTGGGAGACTGTATGCATGGCCAAGCCATGCATACAGTCTCCAAAATGTGTTTGTGGAGATGGAGAACATGCTTGGCTTGACCATGTGTGTTCTCTGCTTTGGATTGGTGGCAAGAGAGGTAGCATGCATGGCCTGACCATGCATGCTCTCTCTATCTTGTGTTGATGACTTGGAGAGGGGTAGCATGCATGGCTTGACCAAGCATGCTGCCTCTTTCCAAGTCTGACTCTCCCCCTGAGGGGGAACAGAATGCATGGCTAGACCACACCTCTTTCCCCCCTCAGAGGTAACACTTGCAGGGAGCAAAGTGCATGGCTTGACCATGCACTTTGCTCCTTTCAAGGATGACATTATGAGGAGTGCATGGCTAGACCTTGCACTCCATCCCTGGATGTTTTTTTTTTTTTCTATGGGCAGGGGCTAGACCTTGCATTTTGTAGCTGGATGTGGTAGATATGTAGTTGGGGGTGGGAGAGTGCATGGCTAGACCTTGCACACCCAACAACACATGTAACTAGACAAATAGGATGGCAATTAATTAGTAAACAATGCAATCTTTCTCTCCATGCCCAAACATTTTTCATGGAACTGTGTACCTCTATGGGCTTCTCAATGGGTAACATGTGATACATGGGAAATAAATAGGTATTCCTGTCCAGTCCAGAGTAGTTACATCCAAAAACCTCACAGCAAGCAGAGCTAGAAACCCCATGCAACAGCCCATTGATCTTTCAATAGGATGTCCTCCTCCATCCCTTCAAATGTATACTGCATCACCCTCACCCAATTCTCATAATGTTGGTATGCATATGTTGACTACCACTTCATTAGCCTATGGCTGCAATCCCAAAAGTTTGGCTCACATAAGCAAGGTCCCAGTGCCGTGGCATCCAACTGGCACATTCCCAATCAATAATTCCAACCAAACTCCCACCCTTGTTGACCAGGATGTTGTGGGGGTTTAAGTCACCATGACTGAAGACAGTGCCTTGGTCAGGTCAATTTGGTAGACATGGTGTATCGGAGGACATCTGATGCCAGGCCTGCTCTGCCATGTACCCATTGAAAGATGCAACCGAGTCAAATGGTCTGAAGGTGTCCAGTGATATATTGTAAGAAATACAAGGGCAACCTCTGATCCTGCAAACCTTGTCCATGGCAGGGGTTGCACAACAAAAAGCTGTGAATGCTTGGCCCACCTGTTTGCTCAGGCAATCCACCTGCCAGTCAGTGAAGTTCCATAACTGAGGACCAATGGAATCACTGTGGAGATGCTGCATGATCAGCAAGGCCTTCTCCCCATGGTCACAAGGGAACCAGGATGCCAAGGGTTTGGAGAGCTTCATGTGATCAAAGATTTTGGGGGTTGGAACCCCATCCAATGTATTGACATACTCCATTGCATCACCTTCACACATAGAGCTCCATTTGACAATTAGCCTGAATGGCAGTGCAGTCACCTGCTGAACAGGTGGCATCTTCCCATATATCAGGGTGCCTGGGCTTTTCATTCCAGTGGCCAGGACAAGGATCCAAGCATCGATCCAGCAGTGCATTCCTTCTGGTATCAGGGAATGCCAAAGATGCCAGCCTGTGTAAGAGAGCATCATTGTTCTGCTGGTGTTCTCTGGTTTGCTATGGGATGACACAATTATTCTTGGGTCACAAGGGGGATGGCCAGATATGCTTACCAGTGTTATGGAGAGATGGTTGTTGATAAGAAGGCAGGGGGCTTGCTCATCCTGTGTGGTCAACCACATAATATATGCCATGTGGTTGCCAGTGCATGCCATGATGCACAGAGGTAAGAAGACAAAACCTGGACATTGCAATCTCTGGGGTTTGTTACCATTTTTGTATGCACAATGTGCAGTATAAATTCTCCCCCTGGACACCATTGGTATACCTCATCCCACAAATCAGCCTGTCCCCCTCATCATGCCTATTCCAAGCAGTGCTATTGCCCCCAGCATGTACATTGTTCTCACCTCCCATGGTTTCCTTGCCAATGGCTATCACTGGCTCATCCTCACCACTTACATGGATGGGACCTGCATTGCCTTTCATGCCACACAGGACCCCGGCTGGTGCTACCAGCAAAAGGAGTGGCAAATGATCACCTCCATGACTTTGGTGGTGGCCATCCTCATCAGCAAGGCTCACTTGTCCAGTCAGTAATTCCTCTCTTCTATGTACCCATGCTCACATACATTGTAGCTTCCATTGACCAGATTCTTCAGGATATTCCCATGGAAACTCCAGCAGCTGAAGTCAGCGTGACATTTTCTTGTTGCATTTGGGTCAAGGAAGCAGCCTGCCACCTTGTCACAGGTCATCTCATGACTTGCAATGATGTGAACACCCTGGAAGGAGAAGTGATTGCTGCTGCCAACCAGCATGCTGATAGCATCATGATTGGGGGGACTGGTGCAGTGTACAGATCAAGGGCCTGTGGCACTGCCGAGTGAGGTCAGTGTCAAGTGACTTGCATTGGCTGAATATGAACACTGAATTTTTATTGTTAGATTCTCACTGGAACAGACCATGTGATAGCATAGCAGACAAGTACTGCCATGATCAGATATATGTTTTTGGCCCCTTTTCTCTAAGAATGTGTTTTTTTTCCACACCTAGACAAGTTTCCTTGTAGGTATGAATGAAACCTACTTGTGGTTTTCTGCACAGATCATTTGCTCCTGGTGGTGTGTTGACTTTTGTGTGCTAGAAGTCTGGGGCAGAACTGCTGAGTGGAATGACCGGAGACCATCTGCACCTGTTCATCTGTTGAGCAAAGCATTGTGCACCATGTATTCTGCATTACCTTGAAAGTTGCTAGTGAACATCAGGTGACCAGTGAGTTTGTACTGAAGGTGTTGGCAAAATGATAGAAATGACACAATGTCACCTGTGTTCCCTTCACTTATTCGAGGAATAGCACTGGCATTGTGTATATATTTGACAAAAGTACCACCCTTGGGATTGATGAGTTCTTCAATAAGGTATGGTGTTCCATTTCCGCTTTTCTGTTTATCCTTGGGTGGGGGTGCAGTGACTCGAAAAAGGCCACACTTGACAAACCAAACCTAGGGAATTTTAATTTGGTTGATCACTGCATCCAGGGGGGATCGAGCTTGGACAGCCTCCAATTGCTTGTATACCAAGCCAAGTAGGGAATCAGCCCATATGATGTATTCAATTTCTCCAGCCAAAACCTGGACTTCTTTCCCTTTCCCCATTCATATGAAATTCTTGAAGCTGGACCCCCCGGGCTGTCCCTCCACATTGTTCTGTCTTGTGTAGCAACACTTCAATGCAACAGGTGTTCAATGTGTTTGCTTGAATATGTGCCCCTGGCAATGGGGTCTTTCTTGAATGGATTTGTGGAGGAGCAAACTGCCAGGATGACAGGTTTTGAAAGTCCCTGGTTCACTGAGACAAGAGCCAGGCTGCTCGTTGACTGAGATATCTCCACTGCAGCCCAGCACAGTCCAATCCACCAAAAAAGAGAACCTGTGATGTATGAGAGTGCCAAATTCAAAGGCAGGAGCAGGAATGAACAAACCCACATCCTGAAATGTGTCTGTATAATGTAATAATTCAGAGAGAAATCACTGGCATGTACAGAGGGGAGCATACTGGAGATGATGTGCTCTGCCAGCAGTGAAGCCTTCACACAAAGGGCTGCAGATATCTCTTCCTGGGTGGGGGTAGGTTGGCTCTCATTTGCTGCAGTCCTTGCAATCAATTTGGGCTGGACCAGGCTGGGGCAGCTTGTCCTCTGCCTTTTAGCAGGGTGTCTTCCTTCAACCGTCACTTTGGTTTTGTGGGGAGAGATCTTGGTTGATGGGGGTGGCTGTTGATGGGGGTGGCTGGGAAAACATGTGGTTTTCCTCCAAATGACAAGAAACTCTGGACAGTATGCAGCTGCACTCCTGCTCCATATGCAAGATGATTTGTTCATGGACAGCTTCTGGCATGATCAGTCAGACTTTGAATGATTTTCCTGACAGAAACTTTGGCGGGTATAAGGAGGGGTTGCCCTTTCCCTCACAAGGAGTGGAGAAACATAAGTGGCAGAATAATGGTGCAGATGGGTCGAAGGATTCATAATTGGTGCTGTCCTTCCCTTGCAGTATGAAGTCTTCACTCTGGCAAATGAAGCCCTTGGTCTCCTCCATGAAAGGACACTGTATTGCTTTCACCAAGGCCCCCTTGATTTCTTTCCAGGAAGCTTTAGCTGGGACTTCTACCTGGTCATCTAGGTGCTAGTCCTTGTGTTCAGGGGGGTGAATTGGATTTTTGAATCAGGGAGACTCACACCAAATTATTGGGAACCCCTTCATCCATCAGAATAGAAATGCACAGCAAATTTAATGAAAATGGTTTCCAGTTGCACTGGTGCATATGATTGATGGGTGCATCTTGCAAACTCAACAGGATATTGGAGATGCAAGGGTGTATAACCACGCAAGGCTGGGGGAGAGAAAATTGGTTGCTCAGGTAAGGAATGGAGTGTGTGCATGGGTGGATGAGGCTGGGGCTGCCAGGCATCAGAAGATATTGCCCACACTGAAGATTGAGAACCTGGGAAGCATTTGCCCATGAAACAAATCTGACTATTACTACTCACCCCATTTTTTGGCTTCATTGTTCATCTGACAGATCACATTTGGGTTGGGTTGGAGGGACAGTGGAATCAGGGATGCATATGTGTGCTGCTGGGAATGGAGAACAGTAAGAGGCTTCATTTCATAATTGATGTAGCATTGCAGACAGATGACCACAGGATTATCTGATCCTTTGTTTCTCAATTTGTGGTACAGTCCTCGAGGGGGGATGAGTCCATTTTGGGAAGGGTTAGAAGGGCAGCATGCAGCTTGGTGAGACTGCAATGGTGCAGTGGCTTGGTATGTCAGTGTCACTTCAGGGATATATGTATGGCCAGGTGCAGAGGTGTCTGCAATGTTGAAAGTGGAGGATGTAGTCAGAAAGGTCAGAGGGAGGAGAATTTAGATAGAGGTCCTTCCTTGTAGTGACACACATTTATTTGGGGCATGAGTACATGTGTCTTTTGGGTAGGCAAGGATGGATTGTCAGAAATTACAATGCCTAGCCAAGGGCAAGGAAGGCAGGCAAAGCAGAAAGACAGGAAGGGCAATGGGAAGAAGGTACCCAGGTTGTGGATCCAGGCCACATGATCATGGTGATAGGACAGCAGCCAATTAGTGTGCCAGAAAGGACAGGGCCATGTAGCACAGCCTGAAAATTCTGAGAAAGAAACCATCAGATCACCAATGCTAGGGGGGAAAAAAAAGTCAGGCAACCATCAAAAGTGGGAGTGGGTGGTTTGTTTCTGATCTTAATAATTGTGGGAATTGGCCATTGGATTTGCAGCATCCTGTTGCCTGTTACACTAACAAGATGTCTGCAAGCACTAATCAGCATCTACCTATAGGTGAGCCTTATTGACAAGCCACTTTGGAGAAACAATCTGAAAGGTGGCCCTGCGTTAGGGCAACACAGGCTGACTAAGTCTGCTCACCTAAGAGTGCCAAGAGTCTAAGCAGGCAACAAGGAAGTGGAGTAGACCTGATGACTAAGACCTATCTACAGTATAGGTACCTGTGGATGATCCTAAGAGACCAAGTCTGAAGAGACAGTCCCAGGCAGAGTAGGCCTTATATTTATACCTCTGTGGTGGAACCTGCTAGAACATCTTGCTTACTCAGCCCTAGTCAGGTGATC